ATATTTCTCAACCATTCCTGCAGACGAACAGGATCTGTGAGAGCTCGAAACAATGACACTTTTACCTCTGACGACTTGTATCCACCCTCGCAGAGTGGCACAAAGCACGTGCTACCCTTACGGGCAGGCATGGTCACACATTCGACGAGAAAGGTGAACGCCGACAATATATGATGTTTGCAGCTCCTTCACAAGTCAACACAGCATCAGGACGAAGTAGTTTGAAACTGCGCAAGCACAGCACACGCACAAATATACTGCGTACACCTCGCTACCGCGCCTGACAGACCTGGCCACGCACAAACTTGCCAACATGGATGGATGGATGGATGGATGGATGGATATTGCTGTACCCTTTAGATCGGGCGGTGGCCAGCGTCACCAAGCCGTAATACTTAATGAACTCAAAAACTATATTTATTTAATTTTTCCTTAAAAAGTGAGTTCGAGGATTCGTACTTTGCAGTGAAGAGTTTAATTTTCACTAGTGCCTTGACTTTAGCCACCAATCAGATAACCTCCTTCTAGTTAAGTCTACTTGCGTAAAGTCTATTTCGCCCTCCCCGTCCCTAAACCCCAGTGCTTTGAAAAACTCTGCGCCATCATCTTGAACTATAGGGTGAAGCCCTTTAAAGAACATTATCAAGTGTTCGGCAGTTTCTTCTTTCTCTCCACACGCACTGCTTACTGTGTCTACCCCTTCGTATTTGGCCCGATATGTCTTGGTTCGCAGTACACCCGTCCTTGCCTCAAACAGTAGAGAACTACCCCGAGTATTATCATAGATCCTTTCCTTGGCAATTTCCTGCTTAATAGTTCCATAGATCTCTAGTGCAGCCTTCTTGATCATGCCCATTTTCCACATTTCAGTCTCCATTTCCTTCACTTTCTTCTTAACCGATAGTTCTTTTTGGTATGGCCATCTGCTGTTTTCTAAGTATTTACCAGTCAACTTCCTGGTTCGCTTCTTCCATTTTGTATCAACATCCTTCATGTACAAGTAGCTGAATACCTTCCTAGCCCAACGCTCCTCCTTCATTTCTCTCAATCGCTTCTCAAATTTTATCTTGCTGCTAGCTTCCCTGCCCTCAAATGATGTCCATCCCATATCACCTTGTACTCCCTGATTTAATGTATTCCCGTGAGCTCCTGAAGCAAGCCTACCTATTCCACGTTGCTTAATTTCTAATCTTGCTTGAACTTCTGATCTCATGCACAAGACCGCATTGCCGAACGTCAGCCCAGGAACCATGACCCCTTTCCATATTCCTCTCACAACACCATACTTATTGTAATTCCACAGTACCCTATTTTTCATCACTGCTGCATTCCTGTTACCTTTAGTCGTCACGTATATTCCGTGTTCCCTCAGGTACTCGGTCCCATTGCTTATCCATACGCCCAGATATTTGTATTTATCTGTTATCTCTAGCGTGACGTCCTGTATCCTAAGCTCACTACCTTCGTTGTCATTGAAAATCATGACTGCTGATTTTTCCTTACTGAATATAAAATCTAACCTATCTCCCTCATTACCGCAGATGTCCCTCAAGCTCTGCAAATCTTCCTTGTTGTTGGCCATTAGCACTATATTTTCTGCGTACATTAATGCTGGTAGTGCCTGATCAATAAGTTTTCTTTGTTTGACTAAAGAGAGGTTGAAGCCCAGCCCACTTCCCTCTAATTTTGCCTCTAATCCTTGTAGGTACATCATGAATAATAAGGGTGACAGGGGGCACCCCTGCCTAAGCCCCCGTTTTACCTCTGCAGGCTTGGATACCTGTTTTTCCCACTTTATAACTACCTTGTTACCTTTGTAGATAACCTTTAAAAGATTAGTGACTACATGTTCCACGCCTAGTGTGTCCAGTATTCCCCACAATTCCTCTTGAACCACGCTATCGTACGCTCCCTTGATATCCAAGAATGCTAGCCACAGGGGCCTGTGTTCCTTTTCTGCTATTTCGATGCACTGCGTCAGTGAGAACAGATTGTCTTCCAAACTCCTGTGTTTTCGAAACCCGTTCTGCAGTTCCCCCAACACCCCCTCATCTTCTATCCATGTCTGCAGTCTTTCCTTTATAATCTGCATCGCCAGCCTGTAGACCACTGATGTTACTGTTATAGGACGGTAGTTGTTTATGTCAGCTTTGTCCCCCTTTCCTTTATAGATCATGCTCATCCTGCTAAGTTTCCATCCATCGGGAACTTCACCATCGATTATTATTTTGCTCACTGCCTCTCTCAAAGCCTGCTTAGACTTCGGACCTAATGTTTTTATCAGCCTAATCGGAATGCCATCTGGGCCTGTTGATGTACTACTAGGAACCTTTTTCTCAGCCCTTTCCCACTCTCGTTGTTAAAATGGAGCCATTGCACCACTTGATTTGTCCTTGTCTATTGTGGTGCATAAAGTACTTCTTTGTTGAAATTTTTCTGTCACCCTTGCTCTTATATATTCAATAGCTTCGTCCCCTTCTAGCCTGGCACCTTGGGCTGTAGTTATGAAACTCTGCTCTAGGCTCGTCTCATTTCTTAGGGAGTTTAGATGGTTCCAAAAGTTCGCAGCTGCCTTTCTATCTTTTTTATGTACTTCTGCCAGCCACTGAGCTCCCTTTTTTCTAATCTTTTCATTGATCAGAAGGCATGCAGCCCTTCTACAGCTTAGAAAGGTTTCCCATTTTCTTTCCACATCATATCTGTCGGTTCACCCCGCTGCTTAGCATGTCTGTGTTTCCTAGAGGCTTCCTGACGTTTTGCTATGGCTCTCTTAACTTCCTCATCCCACCAACTTTTGGGTTTGTGTCTTCTTTTCTGGGGTGACTTGTTACGCGTCTTAGCAAGCTCTAGCTCAAAAAGTCTGATTAGATTCATGTATGTCCACACTGTCTTATTATTCACTGTGATTACTTTCTCAATTTGTTTAGTGGCTATTTCAATTTGCCTTTCTGAATAAAAATTTTTTCTGTAGTTGCTCATGTTGTCTCCTTCCCACTTTCACTGCTCTTCGAAAACTTAGCTTGATACGTTTGTGATCACTACCCAGACTTCTGGAGCCACCTTCATCTATGTGCATTCCCCTGAGCTTATCATACAACCTATGTGACATCAGTGCATAATCTATCGTCGACTGCAGCCTTCCTACCTCCCATGTTATTTGCCCTTCACATTTCTCGGTACTGTCGTAAATGATCAAATCATGCCTTTCACACATATACATGATCATTTTGCCTGTTGGGTCGGTATACCCGTCTATATCTTCGATGTGCGCATTCATATCTCCTAGTATAATTATCTCGCACTCTCCTCCTTATTCCCCAATGTCCTTTGATTTACACTCTGTCATTGCCTCGTTTTCTTCTCTGGCCTTTGCTCCCGTCCACAAGTACACGAAACCAAGGAGTGTCATTTGACCTGCCACTTTCCCTTTTAGCCATAAATGTTCCTTGCACTCCTGCTTGACCCTTTGCCAGTCTATACTTTTATGAATGAATGCCCCAATACCACCCCCCTTTCTGCTGCCTTCTGTTCTATTACAATATTCCCACGCGTAGTCCGGATTGTTCGGAGGTTGTTCCATGTCCCTGAGATGTGTTTCTGCAAAACCGTATACCATCGGCCTCTCTTCCCTTAGCTGTTCTTCTATCTTTTCCCACTTCAGCCTGTTCCTACCACCCTGCATGTTAATATACCCTATGCCTGAATGGGCTCGGCGCTCGTGGCTACGTCTATTTATGCCCCGGACTCTACCTGTCTTAGACATTGGTGCCACTTTGGAATCGTATCTGTCCATAACACCTGTCGAAGAGTCTCCCTGGTTGTTTTCCTCGTTACTAGCTATCCTGCACCCAGAAGGGCTCGCTTGCCCCCTAAAAAAGCTACTGCGCGTCCTGCAAGTCACCAACCCACCTCATGACCGAGTCGCCCATCGAAGTGAATTCTGTCTCGTTGAAAACCACCCCACCTATGCACTTCTCTGTTTATTTCCATCACCTCAAAGCCTTTCTCTCGACTCATCCACCATACCTCTTGATTTGCGGGTTGCAGAGCCATCTGGCGGACAAATCCGAACACATTTCCCTGTGCCCGCGGAGGGCGCCGCCTGCTCACGACACTAGAAAAAAGTTCCAGCCCCTCTAAAAGGAACCTTGCCTGGCAAGGCGCTTTTAGCGGTGCCACGAGCAAAATGTGCTGCGCAAGTACGCCGCCGACTCCAGTGGCTTCTGCGGATAAACCGTTAGAAGCTGCCTCCGAAAAGAGTTAGGCTATGCGAGGTAAGTTGCATTCGGCTTTTATGAAAGTCGTTACATCATTCATTAACAGCACACATGAGCATTTACTCTGTGTACGTGTCTAGGTAGAGGCGTTGTGACCATTTACGGGCTGTGTTCAATTTTCCTTATGTACTATCGCTGACTGCAAGTTTATTAAAGTTGTTGCAGAGCCATGGTAAGAGTTAGCAGCGTCATACGATCGTGTAGCCGTTGTGTCGAACTCGCCCGCCTTCGTAATGAATATGGTTGTCGTTTCTGTGCTTATGAGCTTTTATTGCAATCAGAAATTGCAATAAAATGCATGTAGCTGCTTGCCTCGGGAGTAGTTTACTATACCGGTGCAGCATCTACGAAATTTGGTCGCTATTTAAAATCGCCTAATGAGCTGCTATCTTAGCATGCGTATAACAGTTATGAGAAACGAACTGCAGTGTCACATATACCTCAGCCTTGACATATGACTGTAGCTTCGCTATTGTGAATCTGCTTTTCGCGTGCCCTTATCAAAACGGTTTTTTTACCTTGATAAGAAGTACTTTGAACAGCAGGGATAACACTGACAAGCTAGCTATCGAGTTGTGAAAAAATGCTAAATTACAGTGGCATGCATGGGCGCACAGTGCTGCATTTTATTACTTCATTAGTCCAACAGTGCTTGTGTCTTTGATGCATTGATTTTTGCACTAATGGTTAATTATTACTCTGTATATGTGGAAGACCACTTCACTCTTGACCAGTTTGAAGAAGATAGTCTAGCAGGAAAGAAGCGACTAAAGCCAGCTGCAGTTCCCAGCATTTTCTGTGGTGAGGGTAAATTGAAACAGCTGTCTGCATTTTGCTGACATTTTATCTTTTTATAGCTCACCAGTGTGCCATAGTATCTGACAATAGCAGATCATGATTGGCTCCTGACAAAAGTGAAGAAGCAGGGTTATCACCATCAAAGCTAGGTAACTATCTAATGAAGTTCACAATTTATCAAGATTATTGTTATGAATGAATATTGTCGCGGTACAGCGCGAACCAAAGGCAGATAAACCTTGACACAGCGACTCTCAGCAGCCGAACAGCAAGATCACATTCTTTATCATCGATCAGCCAGAGCCCTACTACCTGGTGTCCGCCAAATCCCCTTATCGTCGTTTTGGTCCACCAGTACACACGCGTCATTTGTCCCCCTCTTAATGAGCATCGCCCCGATGCTAAACCAGTAGTGCAGTTTTTTTTGTCTGTTCTTTAAGAAGTGTCTTGCGCAGTCACTACCTTTCATGAGGCTTCATGCGCACAAGTTGAACTAGTTCAGGACGGTGCTGGCGAAGCCTCGTACTATACATGAACTGTCGGGGACGACCTCGTAAGTAACATCACTCAGTCGTCGCAGTACTAGATATAACCCAAAGTATCTCCTTAGGAGCTTTTCAAATAGTCCCCGTTTCTGTATGGGCGTCCAAACCCATACTCTGTCACAGGTCTGGTAAACGACTGTTCTGCGGCGAGAATTGTAGCGGCTAGCGTCGTATTCTTGTTGTTGCTGGATTCGCAGGCGTGCTAGTTGCCTTGCTTCTTCCGATCGTTCTGTAAACATCTCGGCGTCTGGTTCAATATCGTCGAATTCGCGCGCTAGCATCGCATCTAACATGGTTCGTACTTCCCTTCCGTGAATTAGGCTGAATGGGGTCATCCGGGTTGCTTCTTGCTTGGCAGTGTTGTATGCAAACGTGATATATGGCAAGATTTCGTCCCAATTGTTGTGTTCGACGTCTACGTACATTGAAAGCATGTCTTCAATTGTTTTGTTCAGATGCTCTGTAAGCCCGTTCATTTGCGGGTGGTAGGTGGTGGTCTCACGATGGGTTGTTCCACTCATTATGAGGACTTGTTCCAAAAGAGCTGCCGTAAATGCGGTTCCTCTGTCTGTGATTACGACGCTTGGTGCACCTTGCCGCAGGACAACGTTCTCGATGAAAAATTGTGCCACTTCCGCTGCTGTACCTCTCTGGATAGCCTTTGTTTCAGCATAATGGGTAAGGTAATCAGTCGCGACAATAACCCAGTGGTTTCCTGAAGTAGAAGTAGGAAGTGGGCCCAAAATATCCATGCCAATCTGGTCGAATGGTGTTCTTGGGACCTTCACGGGCTTCAGGAGGCCAGCTGGTTTAGTCGGCGGTGACTTCCGTCGCTGGCAGTCGAGGCAAGTACGAACATGGAGTTTTACGGCCATGGTCAGCCTTGGCCAGAAGTAGCGCTGCCGTACTCTGGCCAACGTTTTTGTGTAACCTTAGTGGCCTGAAGTCACCTCGTTGTGGCATGCTTCGAGTACTTCGGAGCGAAGGGCTGCTGGGATGACGAGAAAATACGCAGATCCTGTCGAAAAGAAGTTTCTTTTGTAGAGTACTCCGCCCCGTAAGCAAAATGATGACAGCGCTCTCACGAAAACAGTTGGTGCCTTCTGAGATCTTCCCTCCAGGTAATTAATTGGGGCAAGTAACTCAGGGTCGCCACGTTGTTGCTGTGCAATAGCGGTTGAGTGAAGCACATCAAGAAATGCGAGTTGCCTATTCAATGGGTAAGCGGGATAGACAGTCGGCGTCCATGTGGCGGTTCCCTGACTTGTGTACGACAGTCATGTCGTACTCCTGCAGCCTGAGACTCCAACGCGCTAATATCTCGGTAGGATCTTCAAGGTTTGTCAACCAACACAGTGAATGGTGGTCGCTGATGACTTTGAAAGGGCGGCCGTATAAATACGGGCGAAATTTTGTGACCGCCCATACCACGGCGAGGCATTCCTTCTCAGTCGTGGAGTAATTAGTCTCGGCGCGTGTTAGTGTTTAGCTTGCATAGGCGATTACTCTTTCTGTGCCCTCTTGCAGCTGCACAAGCACAGCTCCCAAACCAATATTGCTGGCATCAGTGTGTAGCATCGTTGGGGCTTTCTCATCAAAGTGGGCAAGCACTGCAGGCGTCTGTAGTCGCTGGCAGCGGTTCTTAAAAGCAGCTTCCTCATCGTTGCTCCATTGGAAAGCAACGTCTTCTCTCGTGAGGCGGGTTAACGGTGAGGCGATGCGTGCGAAGTCCGCGATGAATCACCTATAATACGCACATAGTCCGAGGAATCGTCGGACAGCCTTCTTGTCAGTCGGCACCGGGAACTGTGCAACAGCTGCGATCTTTTCAGGATCAGGACGAACGCTTGCGTGACCGACAACGTGGCCAAGAAATTGCAGCTCTTCATAGCAAAAGTGGCACTTTTCAGGCTTCAACCTGAAGCCCGCAGACCGTATGGCTTGTAAAACTGGCTCAAGTCTTTTAAGGTGCTGGTCAAATGTTGCGGCGAAAACTACGACATCATCAAGGTAGACCAAGCAGGTTTTCCACTTCAACCCAGAATGTACAGTTTCCATAAGTCTTTGAAAGATAGCAGGCGCTGAGCATAAACAAAGGGCTAGACTTTAAATTCATATAAGCCTTCTGGTGTCACAAAAGCAGTCTTCTCGCGGTATCTTGGGTGTACCTCGATTCGGCAATACCCACTCCTTGATTTGCTCAGCGGTGGCGGCTACGAAATAGTGGCTCGTCACTAACTGCTCCGTATGACTTTGCAGCTCCGGCGAAAGCTTGTTTGCGGATCGGCGCGTGCGGCCACCTTACCTTCTTCGACGCCATATCAAGAATCCCGGGTCCATATCAAGAATCGACAACGCCCCCTTTGTGAACTACGTCATCGAGACGCACCTTCAAAAGGCACAACCCAGACACCGGAGGACCATTTGCTCAGCGGTGGCGGCTACGGAACAGTGGCTCGTCACTAACTGCTCCGGTCTGACTTTGCAGGTTGGTGTAAACTGTATTTACCTTTCCCTAATTTGACGCTGTTTGCCACCGCCGCCACCGCTGTCGCAAGAATTTCCTGATCATTGTAGCTTCCTTTTTGTGACCGCTGATACCGTTGAATCTGTGATTTTGCTCAATTCGAGATGTCCGAGTCTGATGCCTGCTTAGTCTGTAATGAGCCTCTCTTAGAGAGCGGCTCATATCCAACCTGCTCTGAATGCAAATGTGGCTATCACCTGGGAGAATGCTCGGGAATGAGCAAAACGACCCTCAAAAAAGATGATGCCGCAAAGAAAACATGGAAGTGCCAGACATGCCTGGTTTCGGCGGCCCGAAGTGCACGTGGCGTTAAGAGCCACACCGGCGAGGATAATACGTCGTCGAGAAAGTACTGCTCGAAATTAATAGGAAGCTGGCCCAAATACCAGACATACAGAGAAAGGTGGATGCACTAATGAAAGTAAAAGATACAGTCGACAAATTGGAGCTGTCAGTTCAGCATTTGTCTGATCAATATGATGCGGTGCTCGTTGAAATGCAAAAGCAATCAGCTGAAATAGCAGTCCTCCAAAAACAGGTGCATTCTGCCTAGTTGTCCGACACCACTAAGAACGTTCATGAGCTGCAAAACCAGGTTAATGCTTTAGAGCAATACAGTAGACGCCAAAATATTGAAGTTCACGGCATGCCTGTCACCCAGAATGAAAATTTGCTCGGTAAGCTCAATAACTTAGCAGTTAAGCTTACCCTTCCTGAACCGACGAGCTCTGAAGTCGAAGGCATACACAGACTTCCACCAAAAACCGACAAAGTTCCTGTTGTGCTTGTTCGTTTCGTGTCACGAGCAACACGTGACCAGTGGATGGCTAAAAAGGTCGAATTAAAAACTGCTAGCTCTAACGTGTATTTCCTTGACAATCTGACGCCACAGAACAAGAAACTTCTCTGGCTAATGAAGGCGAAGGCAGAGGAATACCATTATCAGTTCGCGTGGCAAAAATCTGGCAAATTGTTTGTGCACAAGGTGCCTGGTGATCGAGCATTGCGCATAGACAGCGAAAGCGACCTAGATAAGATTCGTTGAACTGTGTCTTCTATCACTTACATTACTTCAATTTTTAGTTATCCCCCTCAATGGCTATTTTCCATGAAGCCATATATCATGACGCTCAAACTTTGAAATCAATTGTGCAGGGCGCTTCTTTTAAGGAGCCGGACAGAATGTCGATCTTTCATTTAAACATACGTAGTATGAGAAACAAGCAAACTGATGTGCTGTTTGATTCTTTAGATCATACGTTTGATATTTTGGCCTTCACTGAGACTTGGTACTCTTGCACGTCGGATGTAGTGTTCATCGAAGGATACAAGCATGAAAGCGTGCATAGACCGAATCTTAGGGGTGGTGGTGTGTCGCTATATATACAAAAAGATGTTTCATATGCCGTGCTTCCCGAATTTTGTTGTGTCAGCGCACATTAGAAATCTATTGCCGTACAATGTGTAATGTCCCTGATTGTCACAGCTTATCGGCCCCCATCAGGGGATATTCAAGAACTTCTGTGTTTTATAACTTCAATGCTTGAATATGCGTCCTTGAGAAATTTGCATATTGTGCTTGTCGGTGATATTAATATTGATTTGTTACTTCTTACTCCACAAAGTAGACAATGCTTAGATGTAATCGAATCATTTTCGTATAGGAACTTTATAAATTTGCCTACTAGAATAACAGCAGAAAGTGAAGTTTCTTGGTGACCATCAAATGCTTGCAAGGCAACAGTACGGGTTCCGTGAAAAGAAATCAACTGAAATGGCACTCTTGGATATTAAAGAAAAATAACTTATTAACATGGATCATAAGCAATATACTCTTGCAATATTTTTTAGACTGCAAAAAGGCGTTTGATTCCATAAAGCATTTCATTTTGTTTCAAAAACTCCCTTACTACGGTATTAGAGGTATCGTATTAAATTTGATCCGCAGTTACTTATCTGACAGGGTACAATTCACTAGTCTAAATGGTTACGCCCAGGCTATTCCTCAATAGACCTAAGCATAGTATCTCAATTGCTTGTGCCTCTACTTCACTGGAAAGCCATCACTATTCACTACGGAAGTGACCATTTTTCCGTAGTTTTGAGCACGCCTACATCAAC